TTAGAGATGTAGTTGTAAAAGAAAGGTATACTATTTATATACTGATCGGTTTTTGCCAAAGTTATGGTAAATATCCGACCCCCTGTTGAATAAATAAAAAATATATATGTGCGAAGCATTACACGAAATCTGTGCCCATGTACTAAATTTTGAACAACTTTCGTTGCTCTATTTTGTACGTTACTTGCTTCACTTGAAGTTCTCAAAATCTCATTTATGGTAACATGTTGTACTTTATTTTTTCTCACACAAGTTGGTAGCTGATATTGCAACCTTTCAGATCAAAGGTACCGCCACTAAAACAGGAGATGGTTATGTCTTTGATCAACATTTTTCGAGGATGCTAGCAAATCCGTTAACTTTCAGCCTTGATTGAGAGAAAGAATGAATTCGGAACAATGGACACTATTTGTGCCAATGAAGGAACTCTACTGGTGTTGTTCTTGGTTGCTCAGAGTATATGATTCAATGATGTGTGGGTTTTAAACATTTTAATGCCTTTTAATTTCTCTTGATTGTTCCAAGTTATGAAAGTACAGAGTTCTCTTAAAGAGAGTATGATCGTGTTTGTTTATACTTAAGAATTTCTAACTGCTTAAGACCCCAGTAGGAAATAACAATCTTGCAATATTTGCACAATCCAGTGTAAATGTTATGAAAAGTTTCTAATGCACAATCCAGTGTAAATGTTATGAAAAGTTTCCGCTTTAAGATGTTTCTGCTTGTCATAACCTTCATCTCATTCCCTGCTATGAGAAGGAAATACTAGACATTTTAAGAGATGTCATTGCCCACGATTGTGTGTGTGTGTGTGTGTGTGTGTGTGTGTGTGTGTGTGTGTGTGTGTGAGAGAGAGAGAGAGAGAGAGAGAGAGAGAGAGAGAGAGAGAGAGAGAGAGAGAGAGAGGGGGGGAGTCTCTTAAAGGTGTCACTTATAACTCTGTCAATACGGCTACGTTTTTGGGAAGGATGGTGATATGAGAGGCACGGCGGGAATCACTGTAAGGAAAAAGAAGAGTATATCTTTGTCTAGAACGAACATTCCTTATATATATATATATATATATATATATATATATATATATATATATATATATATATATATATATATATATATATATATATATATATATATATATTCAGTGCCATCCTTTTTTGGTGATGTGTGCTTAGTCGTGACGGTATATATGTGCTGGTGCGTCCAGGCAAGGCGATGGGTGGTGCCATTTACTTGCGGACCTCGGTTCGAAACTCCGTAGAGTACGACAATAATTTCTCTAACCTGTATGATAGTATTGTTTGTATTAAACTATTATTTCTGGTGAAGGTATATATGTGCTGGTGCGTCCAGGCAAGGCGATGGGTGGTGCCATTTACTTGCGGACCTCGGTTCGAAACTCCGTAGAGTACGACAATAATTTCTCTAACCTGTATGATAGTATTGTTTGTATTAAACTATTATTTCTGCCGACTATTATCAAGATTCTACTACAGAATCCAGGGATAGCACTGTCTGTTCTGTCTGGTACATATTTATAATTCTTTGTAATACAAAAATCCTATATACCTGGATTTCTTTAATAGGATTCTGGAACGACTGTATATATATATATATATATATATATATATATATATATATATATATATATATATATATATATATATATATATATATATATATATATATGTGTGTGTGTGTGTGTGTGTGAATTATTTACTAGGTCATCATGCGAGAGTGTCTGCTACGCAGGAGTTTATATAACACCGATTCAGTGCCATCATTTTTTGGTGATGCGTGCTTAGTCCTGACGGTATGTGTGCTGGTGCGTGCAGGCAAGACGATGGATGCCATTTACTCGCGGACCTCGGTTCGAAACTCCGTAGAGTACGAATTTAATTTCTCCAACCTATATATATATATATATATATATATATATATATATATATATATATATATATATATATATATATATATATATATATATATATATATATGCCTTTATATTAAAAATATACAAAATAAATATAAAGTTATACTTTCCTTCGAGCTTATCATCTGCCTTCATTTGCGTAATTTCTGCCTTTTTGAATATAATATAGGTCATTAGATTTCGACTAAATTCATGATTTCGAAAGGGTATGAAATGCAATAGTTGCAATACACTGCAACAATCTTTTTTAAGAAATGTATTTTACTAAATTTCTAATAAATTACGAACTTAGAGCATTTTATTAAAACATTATTCTTTATTATTTAAAGAATATGTTATTTCCAGAATAAATCTGAACAGGAAGTTGGTAGCAAATTTTATTCCAATAATACATACAATTAATACAAATGAATATAAGTTTTTTTGAAACAATACAATATTGCATTACATAATAATATGAAATAGTAAAAACTCATAAAAATGTTGCAAAAATATTAGGTAAAAATTGAACTTAACAGTACAAATCTTAACACTAAAAAGGTCATATAGCTTAAAGTGTTTACAGATACAGACAATTTTTACCTGTAAGAAAAGAGTCATTCTGAATCCCTAACGAATACACTGATTTTTACACGAGGTTGCTGTCATTTTATACACGTCCGTTCCTCTCGAATCAGAATAAACTCTCATCCCTTTCCCACAGGAAAAGCGTGAATCATCAATTTGCTGACCTTTGGGTCCAAGCGAATTGTATATTTGCCTATCATCAGCTTTTGCTCAAGTCTAAAATTTGTTGAAGTTAACCTTTAAATACAGGAAAATGTGCTTGCTCACACCAGCGTGATCTTTTACCAAAACAGCACGCACCTGCTGCACAAAAACAAATCAAACTTTAATCTCACTATAACTTACTGCAAAATTGCTTTAATTATAATTTAATAAAAAAAATACTTTTAACACGATTTAGAAAAGATTTAGAGAAAATTTCAATCTTAATACTTTTAGTAAAAATTTGTGTCCTAATATAAATATGAAAATAATCTAAAGATAATTTGTATCCCTAACAACTGTAGATTCTTATACATGTTAAAATTTAAGTCCGTGAAAATGTGATGCATGGCGGATATCAAAGCTTGAATATTTCGATATTATCAATTTTGTAAATTTTATGTTCAGCAAAACATGATGACAGTAATCTTCATTGTAGCTAAAAAAAAAGTTTTATAACTTGGGGCCGAATATAATCTGAGAGGAGTTGAGTAAATATTTTAGATATTTCATTTAGATCACCAGATCGCACACATTATTTTCTTGACAGTTTACTAAAGCTTGTATTACAATGTCCGGTTTGCTGAATCCTATTTATGCTCCTATTTCAACTTCACCTCTGAACGTTAGTTTTTAAATGCATGCATACAAAACTAAACTGAATATTCTAAGAACATTTACTCACTCAACTTATTATTAAACTAAATTATTGCCGTAACTCTTTTTCGTAGTTTTAGGTACATTATTTACATCTCTGATAAATTTCTCTTTGATCAGCTCTTTTATTCATCTCTCCTACTTATCTCAATTGTCTGCATTGATAACATGACATTCGAAACATTTATTATCCGTATTGTATTTTAAATTAGCATGGATAATTCAAATAGTACAATTATTCCAAATGCGCAGTGTCAGTAGCACAGTAAACGGAAATAAATTGCTCAATATTTTGGCATCTCTAGTCATATTAAGTTTAGTTTATCACACTCTCAGTAGCAATGGTCCTTGAAACTAAATTTTATGAATCAAAAAATCTTTGGCATCCTGGATAGTCTTCTTCTTGCATGCATCGTTGTGTCTATATTACTTATACTGCCCTATAACAGCATCTTTTTTTCGATGATTGCTTGCGAAGAAAATATCTGTTCGAGGCTAACGAGTTTGTGATATTTGCGGCTAAAAAGAAAACTTTCTTCTGTTTAAGGTATTGTTCATGACCCTGCCGCCAATAGAGTTTGAAAAAATTGATCTGAACACAACACCTAATATGCTGGTGTTCGGATCCAACACACCTACGCTTCTTTCACTCTCTTAGTGGGACATGAAAGTAAACTTCTATTCTTTCTGCCATGGCGGTGAATCAGTTTGTGATCTTCATTTTTGTTAAATGTACCGCATTTGACGAGTGCATAGATTATACATGTAGACAAACGAAAACCTAGGGCCAGAGGCGGAGTATAAATCTTCCGTACGCGAGAAATCACAAGGTTGGCGCTCGCATCGCTGCATTTATATTACCCTTGGCTGGGTTATCGCTCAATCATCCGTGCTTCTTCAGTATTTTTTCCAGGTAGTGCAGGGTGAAGCAATAGTATCAGTCTATAATTAAACATCATTGGATATCATGGAAAACAGGTGATGAAAAATTAAGAAAGGCACAGGTCAAAGAAGGGGTCTCTAACCTGCAGTGAGGGTGAGTTTGTTAAAGCACATATAAAGCTAATGTTGTGGGATTGAAGCAGTTTACCTTGAGAGCAGTCGATAAGGGGACATTGCGGTATAAAAATAACTGACAGAGATGACGACAACAGTTAAAGTCATTAATGCTGAGGCAAATGAATCCAACTGGTTGTATTATATCACCATGGAAATAGCTTCCTTCACTGTGCTCATGACCTATTTAAGGGTCCCAAAATAAACTACTCGACTTTCGTTATTTGTCCTTCACATTTGCCATTACAAACTATCGACTTTTTTTTGTGCCATGTCGGCTTCGAGAAATATGAATTTCGATTAAATACATTGTGTACACTTTATTCCGCGTCTCTTTAAGTACTAATAATGTGGCTTAATATTAACATTATTGATCTTTGATGTCCAATAAACGTGCAGTTCACAACAATATTTATTCATGTCCTTTGAAGTGCTAGTAATATATAGCTTGATGTTAACATTATACATCTTTGATGTCCAGTGAAATTGTAATTCACAATATTAATGAAGATCCGTTCTGGAACTTATAAAGAAAGGTACAATGCTGAAAAGGTACAGAACTAATTGAATGAGATCAACTTTAAAATTCGATTCGGTGGCCTAAATGGTTAGAGTATCAGCCTCGGATGCGGGTGGCCGCGGGTTCAAACCCAAGCCGAATCATATCAAAGACATATAAACATTGTACTAACAGCTAGGCGCTCGGCATTAAGAGGCGATTGTCAAGACCGGTCGGCTTGGTGTTAGAATAGTGTGAATCGTTGGGTATTCCCCCAGTGCTAGATATCACCATAAACTGCAACAATGCAAACGTCGTAGCAATATAACTGAAAATTGTTAAAACTACGTTAAAAATTCAATATCACACACACACACACACACACACACACACACACACACTCACACACACACACACACACACACACACATTAAAAAGCCTGATACAAACAATGGATGTATAGACAGAAAGCACAAAACCATGCATTAGTCATAAAAGGATTACTAACGAGACAGAAGTCAAATGATAACGCCGTTTTGTTCCATATGAAAATCAAGAAATCAAGAGTAGATGGAACATTGGGTAAACAAATGGTTTGCTGTTGGACGTAACGGAAATACTTTAAAACTTTATTGAAATGGGCGAAGTGTGGGAAAGCAAACACTGCTTAAGGGAGCAATCATCTATTTATCGGGGTGGAGGACAGAATAAACATAAATTAGGTGTAATAACGGAGAAAGTGCAGAAATCTGTGAAATGTGTGATGGTAGTCAATGTAGACGGATAAAGGATGAGTACGGTTGTCTAATCGTCATCGTTTGTTACTTGGCACATAATCATTTTAATCTAATAAGGATTATAGTATCTCCCACTGTGCTGTCCTGTGTGCATCATTACTTAATACAAGATTCTTACTCTTATTTTGTATTATAATGCGTTGTTTTTACTTTCTTCATAAGTCCTTTAAGACTAAATGTAATCATTGATAGCTGCTGTTTTGTTTTTGTTAGTGATAAAACTGTATCTGCTCTCCGAAGAGTTAGACATGGATGCCTAATTTATGACGCTTAAATTCAGTTTCCATTTTATCTCCATAACTAGGTTATGACATACACATATTACCTACTTGTAAACGGGATGTCTCGTTAGATTGGTTGGCGTGGCAAGAGGACGGTGATTCGAACGTTACCATTCAACCAGTCTAAATCAGAAGTGTATGTGTGTGTTTGTGTGCGTGTGTGTTTATGTGTGTGTGTGATTTGGATCTTTAACGTATCTTTAACGACTTTTTCGTTATATCGTTACGATGTCTGCAGTGTGAATGTTTATAGTGATCTCTAGCACTGAGGCATCATGTCGTAGACATGTGACATCATGTTACACCCAGTCACATAATCCTGACACCAGGCCGACCAGTCTTAACACTAACCTCTTAATGCTAAGCGCCAAGCAAGACAGCTGCTGGTACTATTTTTATGACTTAGGTATGACTCGGCCGAGGTTCTATCCCGCATCCAAGACGGACCTCTAACCACTTAGGCCACCGGAGCGGTATTCAGTCGGCTACTGTGGTGGGTCCTTGGTCAATGAACTTTACTCCAATTGCCTAGACACTTTATAACCTAGTGGTGTTGCTGAGCTGTGAAACGCCAAACCGTGTAATGGATTACATGGACGATGATAACAGCGATAAACTCGTATACAATGCAATATGTTTCATTGAAGAACAAATACAACGTAACAATTGTCAGATCAATGCGCATGTGAGATTTTGAACAGTACCGACAGCAATCCTCGTCACAGTTTAAAGGGTGGTTTTGGGTTGTGTATGGAGTTTTGTGCTTGGTGGTAGACACATGAATGTTTTGAACAGACTTGCACATGCTACAATAATTGTAATTTGTTAACGACTCTGCAAAGGAAGTTATGTCGATTTAAAAAAAAAAATAAATGAAGGTAGAAACAGAAATATTGTTTTGGCATTGTAATCCTTACTCAAATACCCAGCGCTGAGAGATTGTAAATAATAGAGTGCAAAGTAATTCTTTCGATTAAAGTACACAACAAATATTTATATTATCGCACCTTCATATAATAACGTAATGTTAATATCGATAGTTTAAATATACACTGCAAAATTAAAGTTACGTCAACATTCATGCTTAGAAAGACCACGGAAAACATTAGTTTATCCATGGGATATCAATATATTACCGTATATGATCATTTAAAATTTTGTTTAACCGCAATGTGCGCCAGCAGATGAGGTTTATATTGCTTATTTTTAAATATAATTCCATGCCAACTGCATAGACCGAGATCTGCCAGCGGATTATGCAACAGCAGATCTGGATTTTGGAAGTTTCAGATGAACCTGACGATTTAAGCGGTTATAAACCTTAGCCCTACGTACCTGACTTTTCTACAATATCCTTTCACTAGTGATAATACAGTTCTTTTGAACAGTTACACTGTTATCAAAATAAACATCGTATTATCAAAGCATTTTGTATGAAGTCATCGCCAGCCTGAACTTTCTTTGCGTATATTTACAAATAACTAAGGACAATGCCGACAGGAGAGGGTCAGGCTGTACAAAAGGAATATGGGCACAGGTTACAATCTAGATGCTTCTTCGAAAGGTGGGTTCTATTGTGTTCTTCTAAACAGAGCGGCTTGTGATGGCTTGCTTCATTACTCCCAATGGGATGTGTATTCAGTAACCCCCTCCAGCACGCCAAGCCTAAATTATCCAACATCCCGAGATCTGAGATACCAATACGCTGTATTGCAAAAGCAGAATTAAAGTATTGATTCCAAATGCACATAAATACTGGCTATATAAGAAATTAATAGGAGACGATCCTAGTCAACAACGCCATTAGTGTCTTCCTTATACGCCTAGTTTGATCACAATTACACACACACACACACACATACATACATACACGCACACACATACATACACACACACACACACACACACACACATATATATATATATATATATATATATATATATATATATATATATATATATATATATATATATATATATATATATATATATATATATATATATATATATACGCACACACAGAAGCACACATACGTGGCTGTGTTTGATGCATTAAAGATTTTTCAAGCATTCAATACATGAAAATGAAATGTTATTACTCGGCTTTATTATTACACCCGCTGTGTGTCAGTAGCGAAAGAAGAAATTCTACCTACCCAGCCAAACCCGCCTCTACCAACGCCCAAAACTTCATTACGCCCTCTCTCCCACCCACCCCTGGTATAAACAGTTGTTTGACGGAAATTATCCACAACCCTCCAGCTCCCCATTTGCGAGGGTTGTTTTAAAATCAGTGTTGCAGAGAGAGAGAGAGAGAGAGAGAGAGAGAGAGAGAGAGAGAGAGAGAGAGAGAGAGAGAGAGAGAGAGAGAGAGAGAGAGAGAGAGAGAGAGAGTCGCTTCGCGATTTTGCCATCCTGGTTAAATTCTTCATTCCAGCAATGAAAAGGATCATAGAAATCTCACCCTGTATTAATGATTTTTCCCTAAATTTTCATGTTTTCTTCGCTTCCTACACAGGAAGAAAAAATGGTGACCTTCACTAGTTATTGACTACAAAATTGACAGGCATTTCTGATAACATGACAAGATTATTGAAAAAGACTTAGAACCCCGATGTTCCCCGAAAATGAGTTAAAAGTTAAAACAATTAGAAGGAGAAAGAAAATTTACATTCATATTCCATCATGTTAGAAAGAAAAAAAAAATGTGATTCAGTGGCAATTGGTTCGCGGCCATTTGTGATCAAATGATGATAAATGATTCACAATGGAAGTTGTAGAATGCATAATGAATGTATGACCCATACGCTTTATCTGAAGTTTGGACATTTATTGCACTTTTATAACCGCATTTGATAATACACTTTTGACACATTTCTTGTTGTTGATGACCTGTGACCAAGGACAGGTCTAAATGTGTTTATGGGCTGTATAAAATGAGCGAAATATCTTATTTCATCAGACAAAAATGGCATGAGTGTCAACCTGAACATACGACTATTGCAACAATTATGACTTGAAGTTTTTTCGGCTCATCATGGAAGGAATAGATTCTACCAAAAAGCTATCTTAGCAGTGAGATATTACTGCCCTGCCTCGAAATTCCAAATCGAATGAAACTTGAGTTTGGATTTTGAAATTAACGAATTCGCTATGTGATGTCACAGGGATAAAACAAATGGTTGCATTTCTAGCCAACAAGATTGATCAGGTTTTCTAAATTGCTACTTTCTTAGTTTTCCGAATAAGTGTTTATCAGACTTTGTTCAGAGATCACCACTAGTGGGAAAGTCATGCACGTTATAAACGATTCGAAAGATGCTCATCCTAGGATATATGGTAACCTTCACCTTGAAAACCTGCATCATCAGGTTTCTGTGACTTATCAAAAGCAAACCTACTTACAAAGTTTGGTGAAGTTATATTGTTTCTCTTTCTCAGGTAGCCGCTACCTATGACCAATAGGTTTCTGTTTAGGTATGCATGTATGCATATACGTTGTTGTTGTTTTGGTTTCTTTAAGGCGGTTCAGCACAGTAGTGGTTATATATATAGTACCTACCACAAGTAAAACTGGAAAAATGTAAAGTTTTGATTTCTTATGGCTCGGTAGTTTGCGTTTCGGACTCAACATTAGAAGTTTCAAGGTTAGAATCATGCCAAGAGCACGTCGGTTCGGCCAGTCAGAACCGTTTTAAGAAGTTTGGGGAGACTTAGGCACAAACTCTAACCTTAAAAGTAACTAGAACTGTGTCTCAATCTCTCAATCTCAGATATAGAGCATTGCATTGCATTTCCAGGTGCGTGTGTCATTTGCTAAGTTTATTAATATAGTACTAAACTGCTAACACAACCGACACCGAAATTTAGTTTTTGGGCCGCCGCAGGGCCCCCTGCTGCGCGAGGCCCTCGGCTCGTGCTTCGCGTGCATATGCCTTAAAACGGCGCTGGCCACAGTGATGTGTTATGCAAATCATTTTGATTCAATTGCCTTGGTAAAATATAACCCATTATATCTTTCGTTAAACACTAGGCAAGCAATGTTACAAACAATTTGACGTCCTGATAGTTACTCCGACAACCTAC